CTCTGAAACCAATAGACATCAGCTATGGTGACCCAAGGACAACAAAACCCTATACTGGAGTCAGAACATGCTCCCACTGGACTCTTAGGGACAAATGCTTTGTGTAAATTGAACTGTACAATACAATGCACACTTGACAGCTGTCATGTCAAAATACCTATGAAGCTGATCGACAATTAACAATGACAACAGAAACGGATGTATGTTGGATTGGAGACCTCACTCAGGATCTCATGGAACCAGCCGATCAATCGATCTATCAATCAATCAATCCAAGAGCTAATCCACGGGCAGCATTCTACTGATGTCAAAACTATAATCCTGCTGTACTCACTTCTACCTGCTTAGAACCACCAGAGAGGAGATATTGAAACAGTTTTTGCACGGTTAGAACCATTGGAGACACATTTYGCTGAAGCCGAACCGCATTCAAGCGCATCAGTGTAGATGGGGCTATAATGTAGCTGGAAAGTAAACAAAGTTAAAAATAGGAGAACTCATTCTACAAAGCCACAATAGTAGTAAAGCTTAATTAATATAACATGTTGGGTTTGCTCCGGGTAAGACCTCTTATTTGAGTTAATTGGTCAAGTCGGACTCGGACATAACGCCGATGGGCTCTGGCCGGGTAGGGTCAYATTTTTTAGGCCCGAATGAAACTCTAATGTACACGGCTCACCTCGTTACCATACATCCATTTAATTGATCAGCATGAGCAAGGGATMGCAGTGTACCCTGCTTTCTTTGTAACAGCTATTAAAGACAAAACTTGTTTCTGTTCAAATGACACATGTGGTAGTGCAGGTATATTCATGGAAGTATCAGAGTGTGATAACTATTGGATGCCATTTAATAAGGCATGCTGATATTTTTTCGAGTGCTGGTTATCCAAGTCTTTTTGCCAGTTAATAATGGACGACTTGCAAATGACACAAAGTTACAGTGACTTTTCAGGACCTGGCTTCTCGATGTCTGGGCAGGGGACTTATTGTCCTTATTTTACAAGTGTTGAGAATCACTCTTTGTCTGGCACCAAGGACCAGTCTGTCTTGGTACAGCTCCTAGGATCATTCAGGCACCCAGACTCATCCACAAAAATAAGGATTCTGATCTTTGTAGAGGAATATAAGCTAAAAAAATTTAAATGTTCTACTTTGTGAAATTCTACAGTGGCAAGCCATACTTTATTAATTTGTGGTGTTTTATCATTTTGGAGACATTCATGAAAAGAAGCACTTCTGTCAGTATATTTAAACACCTCATTCTAAGTCAGAGAGTATTAAAGCTTACCAAGTTGAGAAGTGTTGGTTGGTGTTTCTTCTGTGGAAAAAAAATAGCGTAAATAACATTTAGGTAATGTAG